TCAAAATCCAACAAATAATTAGTTTCTTACTCGAGTAAGAGCAATGTAAACTAGTTCAGCAGCATTTTCTTCTGCCTGCTTCTTAGTTCTAGCTTCAATTCCTTAGAAAGTGTCACTTCCAACCACAATAATTGACACAAATCCAGTCTTGTAAGGACTTGCTGGGTATGTCTCACATGACAAAGACATAAGAGCCCTTTTCTGGGCCATTTCTTATAGGGCATTTTTGTATATACCTTTATTCTAAAGTTATTAAAATACACAAATGTGACACAACAAAAATGCAACAATGATAAAAGGATCAAAATTAATTGGTCCGAATACTGGCCTCTTGGGTCTCAACAATTGACAAAGCTTCAGAAGCAACTTTGGCTGCTGCATTTTCAACGCCTTTTAGTAGGAAAAATATGGTCATACTTTATATATTTTTCCATTCAGAGAGACGTGGTTGTAGTGAAGAGCGTAAGGAGAATCGTCAAGTTTACAAGCATACACAAGCATAATAAGACCTCTCTTTTGAGCACATTGTTGCAGCAGATTTTCATATATGTGCAACTTGACTTTGTACATTATGATAAGGTTTTCTTTATTCCTTTCGAAGATAGACTGTAAAAGATTTGAGAAGGAAAAGTTACAAAAAGTTACTTTTTCATTCTAAGTATGTGATTGACTACAAAAATGAAGTTAGCAACTTTTTCCTTCAATATGGGACTAAGAATGAAGATCCTAGCTCACCCCCATTTACTAATGCGATCGTTCGCCTGGTATACCTTCGAATCACCCTAATTTTACTCTATGGGGTCGATAATTGTTGTAGCAACCCTCTTTCTACAAGCAGTGGAAAGAAGCATAGGAAATAGCTTTCCTTTAAAACTTACAAAGAGACGTGTCTATTTTCCTTTAAAAGCTCAAAAACCCAAAAAAATAAATAAATAAAATTATGCACTCTGTCCAAGGACATACCATTCTTGTGCATTTCCTCCATACTTGTGGTCCCATACTCTGTAAAATTAACTTATTCAATTATAGTCATGCTATATGTAAACTTGCCCATAGTGAAGGAAAATTTGCTCACTTCATTCTTGTAGCCAATCTCACACTTTGAATGAAAAAGTAACTTTTCGCTACCTTTCCTTCTCTCTATCTCCGGAAGGAAAAAAGAAAACCTTATCATAATGTACGAAGTCAAGTTGCCCATATATGACAATCGGTTGCAACAATATGCTTAAAACAGAGGTCTTATTATGCTTGTAAATGCTTATAAACTCGACGACCCTCCTCACGCTCTCCAATACAAGTCGGTTGTCTCTCTGGATGGAAACATATATATAAAGCACGAACATATTTTTCCACCCTAAAAGGTGCTAAAAATGCAGCAAACAAAAGTTGCTTGTGAAGCTTTGTAATTTGTTGAGACCCAAGAGGCCAGCATTTGGACCAACTAATTTTGATACTTTTGTCATTATTGCTTTTTTGTTATATCATATTTGTGCATTTTAATTACTTTAGGATAAAGGTATATACAAAAATGACCTACAAGAAATGGGCCAGAAAGAAGGTCTTAAGTTTCCGTCATATGAGACATCCCCAACAGGTCCTCACAAGACTGGATTTGTGTCATTTGTTGTGATTGGAAGCGACACTTTCCAAAAAATTGAAGCCAGAACTAAGAAGTAGGCAAAAGCAAATGCTGCTGAAGTAGCTTACATTGATCTTACTCAAGTAATAAACTAGTTATTTATTTGGTTTTGCGTTCGCTCCTACAGCCAAGTCAACTATCGAGTAAAAGCAATATAAGCTACTTCAGCAGCATTTGCTTCTGCCTACTTCTTAGTTCTGGCTTCAGTTCCTTGGAAAGTGTCACTTTCACCCCCAACAATTGAAACAAATCCAGTCTTGTGATGACCTGCCAGGGATGTCTCATATGACAGAAAATTAAGACCTCCTTTCTGGGCCATTTCTTGTAGGACATTTTTGTATATTCCTTTCTCCTAAAGTAATTAAAATACACAAATGTGATACAACAAAAAAGCAATAACGATAAAAGCATCAAAATTAGTTGGTCCGATTGCTGGCCTCTTTGGTCTCAACAATTTACAAAGCTTCACGAGCAACTTTGGTTTACTGCATTGTCAGCAACTTTTAGGGTAGAAAAATATGTTCGTGCTTCATATATTTTTCCGTCCAGAGAGACAACCGACTTGTAGTGGAGGGAGTGAGGAGGGTCGTCGAGTTTATAAGCATGCACAAGCATAATAGGACCTCTCTTTTGGGCATATTGTCGCAACATATTTTTATATATGTGCAACTTGACTTCGTAAATTATGATAAAGTTTTCTTTCTTCCTTCTGAAGATAGACTGCAAAATATTTGAGAAAGAAAGTTTGCTTTTCTTTCAAAGTATGGGATTGACTACAAGAATAAAGTTAGCAACTTTTTTCCTTCAGTAGGGGACTAAGAATGAGGATCCCAGCTCACCTCCCAACTACCGACTTGATCGTCCACCTGGTATACCCCCGAATTGCCCTAATTTTACTCTATGAGGTCAACAATTATTGTGGCAACCCTCTTTCTACAAGTTGTGGAATAAATCATTGTAAATAGCTATCCTTAAAAACTTATAAAGAGACGTGTCTATTTTCCTTTAAAAGCTCCAAGACACCAAAAAAATTTAAAAAATAAACAATAAAATAAAAAAATATTCACCTTATTCGAGGACATAGCATTCTCGTACATTTACTCCATACTTGTGGTCCCATACTTTGTAACATTAACTTGCTCAATTATTGTCATGCTATATGTAGTCTTATTCAATTAACTTTTTGCTATCTTCATTCGTGGTCCCATACTGAAGGAAACTTTGCAAACTTCATTCTTGTAGCTAGTGTCATACTTTGAATTACAAAGCAACTCTTCACTACCTTTCCTTCTCAAATATTTTATAGTCGATCTTAGGAAGGAAAAAGGAAAACCTTATCATAATGTATGAAGTCAAGTTGCCCATATATGACAATCTGTTGCAACAATATGCTCAAAAGAGAGGTCTTATTATGCTTGTGCATGTTCATAAACTCGACGACTCTCCTCCCGCTCTCCACTACAAGTCAGGTGTCTCTCTAGATGGAAACATGTATATAAAGCACGAACATATTTTTCCACCCTAAAAGGTGCTAAAAATGTAGCAAACAAAAGTTGTTTGTGAAGCTTTGTCAATTGTTGAGACCCAAAAGGCCAGTATTTGGACCAACTAATTTTGATACTTTTGTCATTATTGTTTTTTTGTTATATCATATTTGTGCATTTTAATTACTTTAGGATAAAGGAATATATAAAAATGACCTACAAAAAATAGCTTAAAAAGAAGGTCTTAGGTTTCTGTCATATAAGACATTCCCAGCAGGTCCTCACAAGACTGGATTTGTGTCATTTGTTGTGGTTGGAAGTGACACTTTCCAAAGAATTGAAGCCAAAACTAAGAAGCAGGCAGAAGCAAGTGCTGCTGAAGTTGCTTACACTGATCTTACTCGAATAAGAAACTAGTTATTTATTGGGTTTTGCGTTCACTCCGACAGCCAAGTCAACTATCGAGTAAGAGCAATATAAGCCACTTCAGTAGCACTTGCTTCTGCTTGCTTCTTAGTTCTACCTTCAATTCCTTGGAAAGTGTTTCTTCCAACCCTAACAATTGAAACAAATCCAGTATTATGAAGACCTGCTAGGGATGTCTCATATGACAGAATTTTAAGACCTCTTTTCTGGATAATTTCTTGTAGGACATTTTTGTATATTCCTTTCTCCAAAAGTAATTAAAATGCACAAATGTGATACAACAAAAAAGCAATAACGATAAAAGCATCAAAACTAGTTGTTCAAATACTGGCCTCTTGGGCCTCAACAATTGACAAAGCTTCACAAGCAACTTTGGTTTGTTGCATTTTTAGCACCTTTTATGGTGGAAATATATGTTTGTGCTTTATATATATGTTTTCATCCAGAGAGACACCTGACTCGTAGTGGAGAGCGTGAGGAGGATCGTCGAGTTTATAAGTATGCACAAACATAATAAGACCTCTCTTTGGAGCATATTGTTGCAACAGATTTTCGTATATGTGCAACTTGACTTCGTAAATTATGATAAGGTTTTCTTTTTTCCTTCCAAAAATAGACTGTAAAATATTTGAGAAGGAAAGGTTGCAAAGAGTTACTTTTTCATTCAAAGTTATGGGGTTAACTGCAAGAATAAAGTTAGCAACTTTTTCCTTCAGAATTGGGACTAAGAATGAAGATCCTAGCTCACCTCCCAACTACTGACATGATTGTCCACCTGGAATACCCCCAAATTGCCCTAATTTTACTCTATGGGGTCGACAATTATTGTGGCAACCCTTTTTCTGCAAGCTGTGGAATGAAGCATTGGAAACAACCATCCTTTAAAACTTATAAAGAGGCGTGTCTGTTGTCCTTTAAAAGCTCCAAGACTAAAAAAAAAAAAAAAAAAAAAAAAAAAAAAAAAAAAAAAAAAAAATTTCACCTTTTCCAAAAAAAAACCATTTTC